AATGATCGAAATTGAAAATAACTATCTAAAACTAAAACAAATAAAGTGGATAAATAAATAAATAAATAAAATGAAAACATTCAAAAGGCATGCAATTAAGCACATAAATCACATAGACACATAGAGTCAAATAAAGTGAAAATAAGGGATAGAGTATACCTCCCTTGCAATGGTAATGACATGAAGGAAATATTGGCTTCAAAACAATAAAAAGGGTCAAGGCACCACTTTAATCAAGAAATAATCACATGAAACGAGAATAAGCATGAAATTGAATCAATCCAAGGCGTTTAAAAGGAAGGTGATCAACCCATGTAAAATTAAAACAAGTAATGACTTAATTGCAAAAACTAAAGAAATTTGAGGGGTCAATTTGATTGATTTTTTCAATTATTTGGGCCATAGTGAAACAAGAAGAGACTTGGGGGGTTAAAGTGCAATTGTTTTGGAACATTTCCATGCAACTTCATGCAATTTACTTGAATGATAGGCTTCTGCAATTTCATTTCACAGACAACACAATTTCTGCAACTCTTTGATAACTTTCAACCATGCAAGTCATTTGCACAAACAATAAAGGAATATGGCGTTTTAACAAGAAAATTATCTCGACAATCCGACATGATGAAGCAAGAATCAAAAGAGTTCAAGTTACTCCAGAAAATTCAACAACCAAAGAAAGGAAAAGCTGCTACAACAAGCCATGGGTTCGGGCTTATTGCAGCAGATTTTTATGCCCACATATCAGCCATTTACAATCTAGAAACTAAGCAAGAGTACCATCTAGCATTCGAATGGCCATCAAATGAAAATTCAAACAGACACATTCGGTAAGACTATTGTAATAAACGTGTGGTAATTTCTGATGCAACTCAATGTTATGTGCAAGGAAAAACTAGACGCAACTTTCTGCAATTCTGACTTCCAGGGATTTGCGCAACATTACATGACAAATAGCTAGCAACAAAATCTAATCTCCAAGCTCTCATTCAGTATTACAAACTCATCCTCAAGATATCATGCAAGGGGAAGGAAAATCTGGGCAGAGTGGGGCCATAAGATCAGATTTCTGCTGGAAACTTTGCAACTTATTTTCAAGATAGCCGCAGATAACAAACTCAAGCAAACAGCAATCCTTGCAGCATCAAACAGGTTCCTTGCTTTTAGGAAGAAGGAAAGGTGTACTAGGAACCGGATAACAAGCAAAGAAAGAACCATCAGGCGTTGTCCTCAGAACATATTTAAACCACGAATTTGACAAGAAAACAAACCCACTGGGCTGTTAAAGGGGACAAAAACAGGCGCCCATGTGGTATTTAGAACAGATATGAACATCAATGTAAGCTTTCGAAGGGAATGGGATTTAGAACTACCAAGGAACGAAAATGATGCGGCTATAATACCAGCCCTAACATCTCACCATCCTTGACCCAATAAAAAAAATCAAACCTTTCCGAGCATCAGATGTCACCAAAGAGACAACCCACGGACCACATCCCTTTCATTTTGGGATGAAGAAAAGTGCAAAGCTGATGGCATTTTAGGTTCACAAGCTTTCAACCACCCAAATTCGAAACACACATTATAATCTACGCACAACCACAAGACCTGGCCCCTTTACTCACGAACGAAGCAATAAATTCTTGATGAACATGAACCAGAAGAGGCGGAAGAATAGACAACAATAATAATAAACTTAACTTTCCATAAGCCAGGTCATAAAACAGATACTTTGAAAGCTTCAAGAGACTATTTGAAAAGAAAGACTGGAATGTAAAGGGAATGGATAACTTACAGTGCTCTCTCGGTAAGGATTTGCAGGTGACGATGGTGGACCGAAATGGTAGCAACCTCTCGTGAGATGCAAGTCTCCCTCTCCTGTTTTCCAGTCGAGAACACCTTCTTCCCTTCTCCAGTAGTTCTTTCTTGTTTTCGATTTTTGCTTCTACTTTTGCTTCTGATCTAACTATTCAGCCGCCACCTTCTCTCAGACCCCCAAAGCTACCCTCTTTTCTTTTTTCTTCGCAGTTCCTCCGCTGTTTTCCCTTCGGCTCCTCTTTCTCCCGTTGTTTCTTTTCTCTGTTCTTTGCTCAATCACCGGCCTCACTCTCAGCTTACTCTTCTCCCCAGCCAGCCCGTAGCTTCCTTGAAGTTTTCTCAAAACCTAGCCGTCAAAACTCTCCCTTTTTTTATTTTTTTTCCTCCGTTGTTTCTACTCAGCCCCGGCTGCCGACTCCTCCCTCGGCTATCCTCTCGATTTTTCTTTCATCCGTCCCTCCAGCTGTCCTCCTCTTGCGTAGCCTCCTTACTCTCATTTCATCTTATTTTTTTACGCAACCCCTAACCCTAGCCGCCACATCCTTCCTCCATTCTTTTTGTTTTTCTATTCTTTTTAATCTTAGGCCTCCAAGTGTCTACCATTTAACCCTTTAGGTGCCTTGTTGTCTAATATCCAAAGGGACACTTGTCCCCATGCATGCCCCCTCCACTTGTCATTTTTTTACTTTTTCTTCTTTTTTCCTTTTGTTTTTCTGAAATTTAGCATGAAGGCAAAAAATAAAATAAAATAAACTAGAACAAAATAAAATAAAATAAAACCCTAGAATTGAAACAAATAAAGCTATTAAATTAATTAAACAAATAAAGTTAAAAAATTAAAAATTTGGTGTCTACGGGACTAAGGAATGCAAAAGAGCCTTTGAGCAAATGAAGGAATACCTGCATCAACTCCCCACTCTTACCTCACCTCGGGTTGGAGAAACATTATACCTCTACTTGTCCGCGACTGAAGAGGCGGTGAGCGCAGTCCTAATACGAGATGATGGTACCCAGGTCCTAATATATTACGTTAGCCGAGTTCTTCGCGGTCCAGAGACCCAGTATACCCGAGCCGAAAAACTCGTGTTAGGGCTAGTACATGCAGCTCGGAGATTGAAGCTTTATTTTTTAGCTCACCCCATACGAATTAGGACAGACCAGCCTATCAGGCAGATACTGTCCCCACCTGAAGCCTCAAGACGCCTCACCAAGTGAGCCATCGAGCTCGGGGAGTATGATCTTACCTACGAGCCGCGGACTGCCATCAAGGCCCAGGCTCTTGCCGACTTCCTAGCCGAACTTACCTTTACCTCGGACCAAGACACCACCTTGGAAATGCCAGAGCCACAAAGATGGGGCTTGCACGTGGATGGTTCCTCTAACAGTGAGGGTAGTGGAGCCGGACTACTCCTCGAAGACCCTCACGGAGTATTCCTATGCTCTCCGTTTTGATTTCGTCGCCTCCAATAACGAAGCTGAATACGAGGCTGTCATTGCGGGCTTACAGTTAGCTCGTTGACTGGGAGTCCAGCGTATCACAGTTTATAGCGACTTCCACCTCGTCGTATACCAGGTACTAGGGGAGTATGAGGCTAGAGAGGAATCCATGCAACAGTACCTCTCTGAAATCCATCAATTAGCGGCCTATTTCAAATCCTTTGAGATCCAAAGGATACTCCGGTCTCAGAATCGACGAGCTGATGCCCTATCTAGACTTGCTTCTACCTCATTTTCTACCCTCAACAAGACAGTTCTTGTGGAGGTTCTAACCGAACCCGGTTACATGGAGGACAAAGTCTATCTGGTGACCTCGAGAGACGCTTGGATGACCCTGCTGGTCAAGTTTTTGGATCAAGGCATTCTTCCAGACGATAAAGCTGAGATAAGAAAATTGCAGCACAAGGCGGCTCGATATGCACTTCGTGACGGCCGCCTCTACAAGCGATCTTATCTCGACCCATGGTTGTGATGCGTCACCCCGGAAGAGAGAGAGCGCACTCTTCAAGAGATACACGAAGGACTCTGCAGAGCTCACGTCGGTTATCGGATGCTGGTCAAGAAGAGCTTGCTCCTCAATTATTTTTGGCCAACTCTGAGACGAGACGCCCAGCTTTTGGTACTCTGTTGCCCTTCCTATCAGCATCATGCCCCAAAACACCACCGCCCGACCAATCTTATGGTCCCCATCACTTCTTCCTGGCCTTTTGAGCAATGGGGGACAGATATCATTGGACCCTTCCCTCGGTCTATAGGCAATTACACCTATATAGTTGTAGCCGTCGACTATTTCACGAAGTGGATCGAAACCGAGCCTTTGAAAAGTATAACCGGCTTGACCATCCAAAAGTTCTTTTGGAAATGTGTGATTTGTTGCTTTGGGTTACCCCGGGTCATCATCTCGAGCAATGGGAAGCAATTTGCGAATAATCCCTTTAATGCATGATGCAAGAACCAAGGAATCCAATAGCATTTCACCTCGGTGGGACATCTCCAAGCTAATGGACAAGCCGAGAATTTCAACCGAACGCTCCTTCATAGACTCAAGACCAGGTTACACCACCTCGGATCTTCCTGGGTAGACGAGCTCCCTAGCATGCCGTGGTCCTATTGGACTACACCGAGGTCTGCTACTCAAGAAACGCCATTCTTCTTAACCTACGGATCTGAGGCGGTAGTCCCTACTAAGTTCATCACTCCAAGTCCTCGGATGGCGGCCTTCACCGCCGAGGTGAACGACGAAAAACGGAAGATTGACCTCGATCTCACTGTGGAACTAAGAGATGCCTCAGCAGCACGAATAACTCTCTACAAGAATATCCTCGCCAATTACTACAACACTCGGGTCAGACACCTTCAGTTCAGACCGGGAGACCTGGTTCTACGGAAGAACTCTGTCAGCCGATCTGAACCACAGGGCAAGTTAAGTCCGAAGTGGGAAGGCCCTTACCGAATTGTAGAGGTTAGTCAGAATGAGTATTGTAAGTTGGTTTATCGAGACGGTGCCCTTGTACCCCGAACTTGGCATGCCGAAAACCTTAGTTGTATTATCCTTGAGTTGTTAATGTTCCAGTTAAGTTACTGATATCATTGCTTTGTGTTTAATATTTAGTTATTTTCTTAAACATCACTCCATGGTGTTATTAAAGAAAATAAGGGGACAAGATAAGTAAGAACGAAGTGAATTGGGAAAGAAGTAAAAGATAAATTTCATTAATTTCGGAGGTCGAATACAAGTACAAGAGGCCGAGGTGGGAGCAGCTCATCTAAAAGCCACCTACCTCGACGGAATCCGCTCCCTCTCTACCATCACCCCCAGCAGCTCCGCCGAACTCATTGTCCGACGCTTGTTCGAATTCGGCGATCTCGCGATTGAATTCTTCTCTGACTTCGGCCAGATCTCGCCCGAATTGGATGCCATTGGCCATGCGGTCGCATAGTTCCTTAGCATCATCGTTGTAGTTAGGCTTGTCCTTCAGCACGTCTAGCTGCTCCGGAGTCAGGAAGGAAGCTGCATCCTGGATGGTCGTGGTATAGCCGAACATGAAACTCGACAAAGTCAACTCACCGAGGTATTTCATGAAGGTCTCGGAAGAGCGAAAAGCTTCGACCGCAGTACTACCGGCCTTCTCTATAACTTCCCGAGAAGACTGCTCCTCCTCTTGTCTTCGTTTCTTTTCTTTCTCAAAAGCAGTCTCCAAGGAGTTGATGGTAGTCTTGAAATGCTCCACTTCGGCTACCGTGGTGTCATGTTGCTTCTGGAGTTGGGCCTTTTTTTTCCGCGGCCACCTTCAATTCTTTCTTGAGCCGAGATACTTTGTCCATGAGCTCGGCAGGAGGCTGGTTCTCAACCATGCTGGTGTACCTCTGGATAAGCTCGGACGAGAAAGCAGAAGTAGAAGCCCATGCAACCGAAGTGCTCTGCATCAGCTCTTCCGAGGTGAGTTTCTTCACGAATGTGTGATCTTGGGACAGACTAGAATGGACGAGAAGGTGATGGGCAACTCGAGGATCCTTACATGTGTCGTTGACCGAGACATCCCATTCCGGGCACTAGCGTCAACCGGGATGCCTTTTGTCCTCCCCTTCAAGCACGGATTGGACGAAGTGTCGATTCCAAAGGGAGGACCCAGTGACAGGCCCCTCTGGCACTTGGATTTGTTTACCTCGGCTTTGGGGAGGTGGAGCGACGACTATCACACCACGGGTGGCTACCCCCTCTGGAATGGCCAAGGTCCTGGAGGTGTCTTCCAGGACCGGGATTAATGGGGTGATGGCAAAAGCGCCAGGAGCGCTCTTTTTCTTTTGGACCCCCGAGATCTGACCAGGGGCCTTGAGTTTTTGTGGTATCTTAACCACCGTAGCCGCTCTTGAGGTGATCAGATCCGAAACACTCGTCACTGCACAAGGAAGAAGGATTAATAAGAATTAAAGAAAATGAACAATACGAAATGATGAATAAAAGAATACAATGTTTTCGAAGCCGAGTAGAGAAGAAAGAGGGTTGATCCAGGTTGATCAGGGCTCGGCTAATGCCCCCATTGACGAGAACCGCCTCGGGGTAGGCCTAACAGTTGATTCTGAGATCCGACCCGAGTAGTTTTCGAAAACCCTCCTCATCGTGCTTCCCCGGGAAAGAGTCATTCGACGAGGTGGGGAGCCTCCACCAAAAATCCCTAGGGAAATCCTCAGCCGGGACGAAAAAGAAATTGTGCTTCCACTCCTTTATGGATGTGGGAGCGTCGACCACCACCAACTTCGGTACGATCTTGCATCGGTTCCCGAAGTAAAACCATCATTTCTCACTCCCGCTGTTATTGATGGTATAGCAACGACGGAAGAGGTTGACGATGGGACTCAACCCTTGCTCTCGACAAAGCATCTCGAACCCAGTGAGAATCCGAACTGAGTTCGGGACTAATTGGGTGATTCTAACACCCCAGTATCTAAAGCAGTTCCGGAAGAATCTAGTAGTGGGCATTCTCAGCCCGGCTTCCAATTGGTCCGTATAGATGGCAGCTCTTCCTTTTGGGGGCCGTTCGACAGTTTGATCCGGCCGAGGTGTGTAAATGCTGTAATCTCGGCAAAAAAGGTACTTGCGGATCACCTCGTTAGCCGCGGCCTAATCGATGATGCTGTTGAACAACAGTAGTAGGCCGAAGTCAATGCCAGAGAGGTCGGAAGGGGTAGCCGGTTCTTGTACTCCCTCATCTCAGGGTACTTCGGACCCGAGCTCGTCATTATACAGTTCTTCAGACCCTTCCTGGGTTGGCTCTAGCAACGCCTCGTCCCTGACAGGCACTTCGACCTCCTCCACCCCCGGAGTAGCAGGGTTCTCCTCTCCCGCAGTCGGGTCGGGCCTCTCCGCCGCTTCTAAGTTCAGCCTGACTATTTCTCTATGTGTACTGGCAATTCGAGCCATAGTACGAAAAGTAAAAGGAAAGGGTGACACTTACTGATTAAGAAAAAAAAAAAGAGGTTGGGATGAGCAGGTAAAGCGACTTGGGTGATCTCTTTCCCATACTTCGAATGCCGCTGTGACCTCAGAAAACTTAATATGGTGGGTGCTTATAACTACACGGTGAAAGGATGATACATTACCCCCCTTATTTATACAAGTATAGGAGAAGGTGAAAGGACGGTGTCCCTCGAGCTTCCCAATGACGCTTCTACTCCCCTCATTAATGACTGACCGGCATTCTGACTCCTTGTCACGCGGCTTTTCACACTATCATGATGGTTGACCGCCATTTCGCCTCTCCTTACTTTATCTGACAGGACAGCTAGTCCCTACTCACACGAAAGCCCCGGAAGCTGACTGTTGACTGGCCACCCGTAGAGGCTTGGGTGGCTTATTGAGGGTGGTGGTTTCGACTCGGACTCCACGCTTCGGCTCCCTTCAAAACGGCTCACCTGTCCTTTTCCATGACCAGTGTCGCCCTGCCGAGATGAGCCTTGTCATGACTCCACCGATCATCTCGAACACCTCAGCTACCGAGGTGTTCGTCGTGAAGCCCTATGATACCTGATGGGACAACTAGGGCCAAGTCACAGTCTGTTGCTTACTAGAGGGCAAGACAGTTGATGGGACCTGTCTGACGGACCTAATGAGACAAGCTGACATGCCCAGTCTATCAGGACATGGGAAGTTGGTCCCAATCGCCATTTCTCTCCGATTGTCCCCTATAAATACATGGAGGCAACTAAGAAGAGGGGCTCTTTTTCTAAGCTTACAAGGCATATCATCCACAAGCTTTTTCAATAAACTCTCCCCTAATATAAGCTAATTAGATCGTTGGAGGTAAACCGGGGGACTATACCCCATCTCTGACACTTTGAGCAGGTAATTTCTGTGAGGCTGTACCCACTTCAGGAGAGTTACTCCAGCACCTAGGGGAAGTCTGCCGATTCCGAAAATCACCTCTTCAGTTACCCCGAGTCCGTAATTTTATTTGTTTCACACATTGACTCAAAATTTCGTTTGTTCTAACTTGTATATACCTTGAAAAATTTTGCTTATATTGATCTAGTAAATTTTCACTCATTTGGTTTTAAAGAAAATTAATTAGTCAGTGTAACTTATTCAACTATATAACATATTCAAATGACTCAAATTACAATATGCATATCATATGTTTATTTGCTTCATATAATTTTTTTTTTACACCATTCTAGGATATTTCTAAGTTCTCAATTTTTATATGAATTCAATTAGGCATTTTAATTTAACCATTTATTCGTTATATATAATATTTCTAATATCAAAGTAATTAAAATAAAAGAAATTCATAGCATACATATAAATTTTCTCGAGTTCTCACAATTTTATATTATATTCATGTCAGAACAATATTTTTTTGATTTTTTATTTTTTAGACAATAATAAAATGAAGTAGCCTTTAACAGAAGACTTTATTGAAGAGATAATAAAATAATCGCCCAAAATACAATATATAGCCATGTGATGCATCCCATCATTGATGGCACCAGTGGCTTTCAATCAGTGTCAGTTGTAATTACTCTAGTCCCTGCTCTTAAAGCATCTTTGACATTTTGTCACTGGGCTTTTGGTCTGGTGGTCAAAACTGGTAGTGCGAGAGGTCAAGAGTTCAACCACAAATTTATCATTAAAATGTGGCGATCTTTATTGGTCATCATCGATGGAGTCTATACTCACGTCGAGTCCCTTTCCCCATTTTCCTAGATTAGGCTAAATTAGGTTATAGAACTTCTATCGTTGCGCAAAAAAAAAAGACCAATATTCCCACAACTTGCTGCCACGTTAAAGGCTCTAGCAGTGTTATTAACATTTAACAAACATCAAGCCATATATAACATGTCTTATATAATTAAAGTAAAAGTAGAAATTAAAAATTCAAATCTTAATAAGTTCAAAGGAACGAAAACCACCAATCTAAAGAAGGCATGTTTCAGCTTGTGTATTCCACATTACGGCAATGAGATGGAATATATCAGATTTTGCTATCACTCCATTGAGGCAGAAAATTTCATCAAAATGTGCAAAAGAATATATTCATCAACGTATCACCCCTAGATCAACATCAGATAAAATCAATTTTATCTAATCAATAAAGATCTTGAAAGTTAATTGCATTGTTAGTATCAGTAAGATTTGCATTAGATTTTATCTATTGAAAAACTGTTAAAAATATTAGGATAAATTCTTCTAGGAACATGCAAAACTCTTAACATCTAAAGCAAAAGACAAAGGAAATGATGGACAAAGTCATTCTCAGATGCCAGGTTACTAACATTTGACATATGATATTTGACAATTTTCACTAACAATTTATGCATACAAATTTAGGCAAAACAAAGCAGCCAATGGTCAAATTCATTGACGACAATATGCGATTTAATGTAGACAAAAGAAATTTCACAATTGAACTTAACATATGGGAAGAAGATGATTTTTCATCACAAGCATGGTACCTAATTTCTAAAGTACTGTAGACATGACTGCCCAAATTTCTTCGAAAAAATACTAGTTCACCAAAATTAGAACCAAAAAAAAAGGAAAAAAAAAAAGAACATGAAAATAAAAGGTAGTTAAAGAAAAATGTCCACCTGAAAAAGATCCCTGCTTGGTGAAAAATGTCAAAAACTAGTCATCTCCACAAGTCATCAAGAATGTCAATAAAAAGGTGTTACCCAGTTGATTTAAAAATGGAAGTGCATCTTTCTCATGCATTGACCAACCGGAGCATGGGCGTTTTGAATGTCTTGCTCAAGTTAATCCTTATCCTACTTGTTTCTAGCTGTTGTTGTACATAAGCCTACAAAACAGCACATAGAAAATGTCCAAGAACATAGAAATGGAGAAAAGCGTTAGTCAAAAATTATGGTAACGGTCGCATCAATAGCCAGAAGTCGGCACTAACCTGTAATTAAAACATGACAGGCTGAGGAACTACTAGGATAGGAGATATTTAAGCATAAGCAGGGGAGACACTTAAGAAGTACTGCTAGTTAATATCTGGAATCAAGCTAAAAGCAAGAGATAGAAAATCAAGAGATGAATATAATGGTGGTTGCAGTAGTATTATTAGTTTACTTCCAACCAAAGGTTCCAAAAGCCTCGGGATCAATAAAAAAATGTTCAAGTACCCAAAGAAATGTGGTAAGCAGATCATTTTACCGTTCAAAGAAGCAATCTTGATTCTTAGAACTACAAACATCAATATTAATTTCTTCTACAACTCCCCATGTAAGAATAAGAAAGAAATGTTTGGAGCAAAAATAATCAAATTGAAAGCCATAAACATACAAATATATTGGATGAGATATGATTCATTATAATAGATTTTTTCCACAAAATCATCATCACCTTCTACTTTCTACATTTATTTAATTGCAAGGTAAGCTGACAAATTTTAGCATCTAACTGTAGGCACTCAAAATCTACATAAGTACTCGCAAATCCTATGCATTCAGGCATTATTCCGAAAAGGTTCCAAACCAAACTTTGACTCATTAACTAAAACTCAAACAAACAAGAAAATGGAAACCAAAGACCAACTTGTTTTGATGTTACCACAAATTATCAAAAAAAACCCCAAAAAAATAATGTTTAATTGGCAAAATTTAAATTTTGATGTTACCTTCATGAGCTCTATATCTATCTGAAAAATCTGGAATAGTAGGAAGAGAAGAATTAGCGATCCGGGAGAGTAAGGATGAGAGAATGCACAGTGACGACAAAGGTTGGCAACACAGCACCGGCGAGGTGGAGGCACAAGTCAACACAAAGAGGGGAAGGAAGAGAGTGATAGAAACTAATTGGAACCTCATAATTTCAACCCAAGTTCCGCAAACGGTTTTTCACCATATACCATAAATCTGAAAATGTGAATGTCGAACGATCGTAAACATACGGCCATTTCCCAATCGATTCTCATTTTTGTAAAGACCGATTTTAGACAAACTCAATAAAAATTCAGACTGAACAGAATTTGACAAAGCCAGAAATGATAAAACTACAATGGATAGCTTTTGTGGATCAGTTCAAGATTTTGTACGCAGCTTATATTGTTTGAATGGTAGCTAGTGTGTACAAGTGTAATTAATATGAACTAGGTTTAACACAAATCTGATGCATTTAGACTCGTGAGGCAAGATGAAATTTTGGACTAGCCAAACCGAATTTGCCTCTTTTCAGCACCATGGCCATTTGGCATCTCTCCAAGTAAAACAACGAGATTTGCTGCTGATTTCAGCCACACGAGACAATTTACTTGCTTCAATTGTTTGATTGCTATCTTTATTAGACCCAAGCGATGGACAGCATTGAAGTTTTTCATCCCGTAGTAAAGCTTCTTCCCTGTATTTTGGACTGTGATATCTTGGATGCTGGATGAAGGGAACACCTTTCCACCATAACTTGACAGCCTATTGTATAACATTATAGAAGAAAACAAAATTCTGTGAAAGAGACACTAGTTGAGCTCAAGTGAAGAGACTCAGAAGACCACTTAATCAACCACATTTTTTTCAGAAAAACCTATCTCAGATAATGAACATGCTGGCAAGGTCAGCGGGCTAATTTTCATGTCCGAGGAAAATATGTTCAACTGGGCACTATACGAAGGAAATGATACAGCAGAAAATAGAATTATGACCCCATTCAGCTATAAGTTCCACAAACAGTACACATGCCAGTCTCGTACTACTAAATTACTGATGAGATGTCATATAAGCTAACCAATTTTAAGATGCAACAAGTTTTAAAGGATATAAACATCATGTCCGCAAATTAAAGACCTTTCAGATACCAATAATCACTTTCAGAGAAACACTTACATGCCAATATATCCAAATGGCAACTCTGTGAGGCATTAACCAGAAAAAAGATGCTTGATCCCTTGCCATCTTGGAAGAGACTTTTTTGGCTGTCAATATAGCTCTGAAGTACTTGCCTAGCTCAGGATGTTGTACTGAGATGTCCACCGATAGGTCATCTTCAGGTGCAGTAGTTCTGATGCTCCAGTTCCCTAACATATCCTGGGAATGATTTCATCAATTAGCAACAAGACATGCAAATGACTGTAAACTTTAAAAGCTTGCACATTGAGATTATACTAAATGATACACGTCATAAAAGATGAGGCATATTAAATCCATAGAACTCAGGCAAAAGATGTGTTAAATGCTTCAGAATCAAAGCTATTCTTACTTTCCAAACTAAAAACAGTAGTTTCAGTATTAACACTTCAAATACTTAATAGTTAGAAAACCCAACTCAGGTATTCATCATGGTATCCAGCATGGTAAAACAAGTCTCCATTGCTCCCCTTCTTGGCATGGAACCTTTCACTTATATATTCAAGAATTTTCACTTATTATTCATACAACTTAGGAAGACATCCAATCCAAACGATTATTTGACACTGATTTTCCTCACAGAACCATGTGGTCAACTTACAATAAAAACAAAAGCAGGAGGCCACACTAAGCACCAACCCCCCCCCCCAACAAAAAAAAAACACTTTTTCTCCCTCCTTAGAGTTTTACAGAGACTAAACCTGTAATAAATAAGGATGTGTTTCTGCCCTGATGGGAAAAAGTTAATTCCACCTAAAACATGACCACATAATTTCCAATAGCAGAATGCACCATTGCCTAATCTTTTTTATTACAATCTCCCTATATGCTTTTACAAGATACATTTCCAGGTATATGGATCTACAAACAAACCTAAAATAATTGCACAGGAGAAATGCCTATCTACAAATAATTGATCAAACAATACCAAGGTATGGAAACCTAAAATTAATGCCATTCTTTATCTAAGATATAGATAAGTTGATTTCTTTACTATCTCTTTTTTTTTTTCTTTGATTTGACACTGTTGCCAACAATACTGCAAATTGCTAACTGCATACAGAAAATTCTCAAAGATAAGTCATCTTCCATCCCCACTGTTTACAAAATAATGGCCTTTGCAGTCAAGGTTCAAAATATGATCTCCATTTCACTTAAAGTAATTAGTTCAGATTTCTTCCACTCCAGTAAAATAGTCACTGAAGCAGAAAAAAATTATGAAAGGAACCTATTTCTCAGAAATGTAAACAAAAACCACAAGGCATATAAAGCTTGATAAACTACCCTGTTGAGAAAGCTGATCATTTAGATTAAAATGACCAACAGTTTAATCAACTTCAACTTGAAAGATAGGGGACCAAACTAATTTTAATTACTTCCAGAGCAGAGTTTGAAAAACACGTAAAAGAAAATACCCATGGATCAACTATGTTGTGTGAGATAGAGCTGCAGTTAAACTGCTTAAGACTTACCATAAAAGGACTGACGTGAAGCGGCTTTGCAACTATATCGGACTCGGGGTCGAATAAAAATGATACTCTTTCACCCCACGGTGTATTTGTTACCTGAAACAAGAAAAACTGCTGTTAGGAACTGGTGATTTTGAAGCCTAAAAGTGGAAGTACAGGTTACTTTCAACATATGTGGGGCACAGAATAGTGCATCAACTTAAAAAATAAAATAGAAGTTCAAAGCCCACCTCTCTTTGCCACATTAAGAGGAAAGTATTATTGATGATCTTGACAGCTAAGCAAGAACTAGAGATCATATGCAAAGATTTGAATTAACAGATTGACATCTTCCTTCTCTCTGCCTTTTTTTCTTTTCCAAATACATAAACAAAATGATTGATTGACATAGCAAATTTTTTATCCAAGTCCATCAGTAAATGGTAGAGATTAACAGTTCTTTATTTTATTGAATTGCAGCAAAAAGCTCATCTCTACAATATTAGGAGTGAAAAGCAGAGCTCCATGCAAAGAGGACAAGGAGAAAGAACGATTTACAGCATAAGCTGTTAACTGACCAAGAAACTCATCATATGTAGAAATTTAAATGAGAAACTCTTCAAGCAGGACAAATAAATTTAAGAACTAAGTTTTTCTGATTTAAATCAGACACCAAAAACTCATGTCTTCAAATTACATAAATTCTAAAAATGTTATGACAGACAGCAAATATACCCCCTTACTTCTCTAGGAGAGGCAACAAGACAGGATATTAGAACCTTCGTAGAAAGAAAAAACAGTTTAGATGCAAAATTATTTGTGACCTCATAGAGCAATCAAATTAAATGTATTTAAATCATTAACCTCGGCAATGCATTTCTTCAAATTGCGCGAGGAGCGTTCAACATCATAGCAATAATACACGCTCAACGGATTTTGTTCATATCCCACGCTTGGTGGTATAGTCAACAAGAATCTGGTGCATCACGAACACAATACAAAACCATCAATCAATCAGTCGGTCTGCTCAAAACTTCATGAATTACAACAACATTGCAAGAAATAGTGAAACCGCACTTAAAGCATCAAAAACAACCAAAGATGATGCAACGACAAAGAAAAAGAACAAAGAAAAAATAGACCTTTTTCGTCTCTTTATTCTCAAGACTCAAAAATTATACATTCAGGAGTTACAATCAATTCAAGTGAAATGCACTCACTTATTCTTATAATTCTGCATTCATGGGATGAGACACGAAAAATATTTATACTACCTACAGAAATAAACAAGACCAAAATTGTAACCAAAACTACACAAGAAAGAACAACGAAATATTTCCATAATTAACAAGCTAAATTGCTAGGAAAACGGAAAAATCTGAAAACCCCAGATAGCAAAAGTGCATAATTTGCCTCAAAAGCTGAAGGAAACAGAACAGTAAGTAAAAATACTTTACATCGGTCCATTGGTTCTGGATATACGACGAGCTTCATCGGCGGAGAAATGGTCGGGTGGGACATTGGGAGAGCGGTCGAGGTCAAAGAGGGCGTAACGGACGGAATACTGGAAAGAATGATGGACGGGGCTGCGGCGCGTGTGCCAGACGACGCCTTCGTAGAGGGTGACATGGTCATGCTCTGCGGCGGCGCGTGGGTGAGAAATGAGGCGGAAGGGGAGGAGGAGAGTGTGAAAGGAGGAAGCTATAAAAGTGGAGACAATTGAGAAGAATAGATAGAGAAGCTCCATAAGGACTAGTGCTCTGCTTTGGCTAGTGTTCAAGGGCGGGTAGCTAAAGTATTTAATAAAAAATAAAGAAAATTTCACCAATTTAGTCCCTAAATATTTTCACTAATATTAATTTCATCCTTAATGAATTATTTAACCAATTTAGTCCTTTAACTATTTTTTTACTTCCAATGTAGGACATTTCACTATAGTTTACTCAATTCGCGTGGACCAACAGGAGCATAATTGTCACATTAACCTAATCTTTTGCAATTAACCGACGAATACCCTACCCATGCGATTGGCCTTGAAAAATAGAACACAATTGGGGGAAATTGGGAGAAGAACTAAGGCTTTGGCAAACGGATGATGGAGGCCAGAATCGAACTGGGAAAGCTGCGAGCTCGAGCAACGAACGATGGCGATAGTGACAGGGATGACAACGATCAGGTGGAGTCATCAACAAGATCAAGTAAGCCGAAACTTCAAACCTAGCTCTCGTCACCCCGTATGCATTAGGTGGTTGATTTTAGTGCCTCTAGTGTGTTGGAATGGTGATATAATATATAATGGAAGAACTTGAGGGAGGAGGGGTTTAATTTGGCAATATTGTATAGCAGTGGTGGGGCATGAACAGGTTATGAGATGTTGAAATTTTTCGTTCAAGTATGATTCCACATGGAAAAGATAAAGCATTTACTTTGGTTATAGTACTTTCGAAATTTTACTTTGTTTGCTTACGATTTGTGATGTTGAAATGTTATAATTTTTAAATTGAATTTGTATGCTTGTGACTATGATGGTGAAATTTGGTCTCGTTTAAAGTAAATTTGTTTGTTTGTGAATTGTGATGTGGTCCCTATGTCTTTAAACTATACTATGCCATAACTTTCATGTTGATGAAAAGTCAGACATAATTGGAACCAAGGTTCTCGGAATTCTAAATAATAATAGATTTCTGTAATTTTTTTTTTTTAAAAAAAAAAGGTCAAGATGTGGACTATTTTACTTTGAGAGTGCATTATGGTGGTGTGTATGTTAAAGATCCACAAGAGACATACGTAGGGGGTAGCATGGAAACATTTGAAGGAGTTATTCCAATGAGAGTTAGCAAATCAATTCTGCATGACTCTTGCACTTTTGTGGGCTGTCTGAAGGATTCGAAGATGATGTATAGAATCCCTGGTGGAAAAAAATGTAGCTTGCATTGGATGATGAGGATGATGCAATAGACATGACTTGCGTTGGTAAAAAATATTGAGAAGCTAATGTGTATGGTGTCTATGAATTCCATATAACAGATGTTAATAGCAATGCTAGTGAAGGTGTCACAACTATTGAGGAGATTCAACTAGAAGATGATGGTTTATATGTGGATATAACCTTTGATGATATTGATCTAGTTGACTTCAAAGAAATACCAGTTTATGTGGAGCAAATGATGGCGCATGTGAAGTCAAAAAATGGAAAACACAGCTGAATGAGGGTGGACCAAATGATGATGATGCTGTCCATTCAGATTCATCCACAATTGAAAGCTTCTGTGACAGTGATTATGATTTTAGCCATGATGATGAAGATGTGATATTCCAGAGCTGCATTGTTGCACCTGAGCAAGAGTTAGATGGTCGAATTGGAAAGATACAACCTGATGGTAGAGAGAAAAACAAGGACAAGGAGTGTAACAAACAGAAAATGCCATTGCCTGCAACTAAGAAGAAAACAGATAGAGCCAAAGATCATTCTTTCAGAGACTTGCACTTGGATGAAGGAGATCAAATTCCAATCCACGAGGAATCTGAATCACTTGCCTTAGATGAGTTGAAAAGTTGTCAGTCCTCCTCGGATAAAGACAACAAAAACAAGAAGGCTAAGCACCCAAGTCTTGTGAGGTTCAGGCCTGAAGTTGATATGGAAGATCCTAAATTCCATGTTGTATAGGTTTTTGATGATAAACAAATGTTCAAGTTAGCTATGGACAACTACGCAGTCAAGTGAGGCAAGGATATTTAATGGGTAAAACAGGATGCTACACGGATGAGAGTTAAATACAAGGCAGAAAACTGTGAATGGATGCTGTTTGCCTCTCAGGTTGAGGCCAGTGATGACTCCCTTGTGATGAAGACTACAGGACATGTGCAAACTTGTGGCTGGACATTCTACCACAACAGAGCTACCTCAAATTTTCTAGCTAGAAAGTATGCTAAATTTTTAAGGTTGAATAAGAGAGTGACTCTTGAGGAATTTAGGGAGAAGGTGTTTTCGGAACTTAATCTTCACATCACTGCACCACATGAAAGCAAAGATTATAATCCACAGGAGCTATAAAGAATAGTATAAAAGCTTTGGGATTACTGTGATGAGCTACTAAAATGTAATCCAAGTTCCACTATATACATGGAGACAAAGTCAGATGAAGACACTGGGAGAGAGAGATTTCAAAGTCTGTATATCTACTTTGGGGCACTAAAAAGATTATTTAAGTTTGCATGTAGACCTGTCATTGGAGTGGATGGCTGCTATTTATGAGGTCCACACCCCAGAGTGCTATTGACAGTTGTAGGTAGGGATGGCAATGGGCACCCACCCCGCGGGGGTAGAAACACGGCGGGACAGGGGCAAAATATTTCTCCCCGCCTTAAAACGGGGCGGGGGTGGGGCAACATACACCCACCCCATCCCCCGCCCCATCCCCCGCATAAATATATATATACACACAAAACAACCCTAAATTTCCTAAAACTGCACCTTTACTTACAATTTACAAAGGCCAAAGCTGGTCATTTGCCGCACCTTTGTTCATCTGCCGTTCATCTGCCTTTCACTGCCGTTCAACAGCCCTACTGCCGTTCACTTCTGTCTGTCGAATCTGGACCTTCCACCCTCTTTTTTCTGCGTTCTTCTTCACGCTTTGGTTTCATCCGCTCTTAAATCCTTTCTAGGTTTGCTCCCTTATCATTCTTAGCTTTATTAATGTATGCATGCGAATTGAAATGTTACTTTGTGCCTTTTTGTTTTTTTCCATTTAATTTGTATTAATAGATTAATGAAGCATGCATGGTGAATAAATGAGGAATTCTGTGTCAATTCCTTTGCCAATTGGTCTAGTTGATTACATCTCTTGTTTCTAGAACTCCACTTGCTGATATAAATACGTGGCACTTAAAGCTTCTTTTTTTTTTTCTAATACTTCACGCTTTTTAGGTTGTTGGAGATTAAGAACTACCAATTGTAGTTTTGCGATTTGATTTTTCAGCTGATTTCCATCTTCTCACAAAATCATCTGGTTATGAATAATTGAATGTTAACAACTAATTATTTCATGTTTGGAGCACAATATCTACGAAATTTCTGGGATGCAGAATAACAGTTGACTGTGGGATTTGTATCTAACTTGTTGTTGTATTATATGATTTATTTTGAAATTCATCATTGTGAGCAATCCATTTATTGTGCTATTTGCTTTCTTGCCTTTGTAGAATTCTTATCACAATGAATCAGTCCGAAAATCTAATTGCATCTGAACAATGGGATAATTCATCAACTCCACAATCAATGAATGTTGAATCAGTTGACTTGACAGATACAGTAGAAGAAGATGAATATGAAATTGAAGGAGGAAAAAGAAAATTAAAATCAAAAGTTTGGGCACATTTTGATAGAGAGAAAGGTGAAGATGACATTTTTTATGATGTGTGCAAGTATTGTAAAAAACAATACAAGACAGGTAGCACTCATGGGACGAGTACCTTGCATGATCATTACAAAAGGTGTGCTAAAAGGTCTAAACAAGATATTAGGCAAATGTTACTTCGAAGTGGTAGTAAAAAGAATGATGGCAAATAAGAATTGCACAATAATATGTTCGATCAACAACAGTCACACCATGAGCTTGCATCTGCAATTGTATTGCATGAGTATCCATTATCTATTGTGGATCATATAGGCTTTCGAAAATTTGTTAAGAGTTTGCAGCCATGTTTTAAACTTGTGTCAAGAAATACAATTAAAGGAGATATTTTGAAGATCTATGAATTGCAAAAATTGAAGAATTGCAATATCTTGGAGAAGCTTGGAAGTAAGATAGCAATTACAACCGATATGTGGACTTCTAGCAACACAAAGAAAGGTTTCATGGCTATCACTGCACATTATATTGATGATTCTTGGATCTTACAAACTCAAATTTCGAGGTATGTTTTCAAAAGTTAAAAAGTTAAATTATGTTAATTGTTTGTTATACATGAGCAACTTATTTTTTCCTATATTTAGGTTTATCTATGTTCCTGCTCCACATACCAAAGAACTGTTAAGTGATGTGCTTTTTAGTTCATTGATGGATTGGAATATTGATCGTAAGATATCTACAATTACCTTAGATAACTGTTCCACCAATGATGGTATGATTAATTGTTTGTTGGAAAAGTTGAATGTGAGTGATTTGTCGATAGATGGTCTAGTGCTTCAAATGCATTGTGCTGCCCATACCTTAAATTTGATTGTCAAAGATGGTTTAGAAATGATATCGGGTGGTATTGAAAGAATTCGTGATAGTGTGGTGTATTGGACTGCTTCTGCTGCTAGAATTGAAAATTTTGAATAAGCGGCTCGCCAATTGGGCATTTCTTCTACTAAAAAGTTGTGTTTAGATTGTAAAACACGTTGGAATTTGACTTTTTTAATGTTGCAAACAGTTGCAATTTATAAAGATGTATTTCCACTGGTTAAAGTCCATGAGAAACACTACACTAGTTTGCCAAATGATGATGATTGGGTAGTTTGTAATGTCATTTGTGAGAAGTTGAAATTATTCTACCAAGTCACTGAAATGTTCTCCGGTACTTGATATCCTATATCAAATGAATTTTTTGCAAAAGTTTGTGACATTAAGGTATCATTGGCTCAATGGATGAAAAGTTTAAATTGTTTAATTAGAGTAATGGTAGAAAAGATGATGGCAAAATATCAAAAATATTGGGAAGATTGTAATGTGATACTTGGTATTGCTGCAGTTTTGGATCCTAGATACAAAATGAAAT